TCTCGAAGCCTTTGACAAGAAAGCAAGTCTGGTGACTCCCTATGTTTATTGCTTAAATATGAAACTTTAATAAATAGATTTAGCCAGGGCTAAAAGCGAAGCTCCTTTTAAGTCGAATTTATAATTTAAATCAAACAATAAACTTGCAATTGTATTTTACAGATCAGTTAACTTTGGAGCACATTCATGTGACTTTTGAGGGAAAGGCTAAGTGATTTTAAAGAAAAATAGTTTGCAAACAGTCCAAGCCAAGAGTGAACTTAAACATACATCGAGTTGATAGTACGTACACCCAAAAAATAGCAATCATCTTCGATCACATTCAAGAGCCATAAAAATGGCTCCTGATCACAGTAGATTAGGCCAGTAAAATAACTTCTCGGAAAACAAATCAGGCCCAATTTTTTGCGTTCGACAAGTTTACAATTTATTTTACAAAATCTTGCTAACAAGTCTGGGGACGTGTAAAAACCAACCTTTTATACTTTTTATACATTATCTGAGGTGAAACAGTACCATGAGGCACTGTTTTTATCATACAGACCTCTGACAGATCATAATTTTGCAATACAAATTGTACTCATTCAACATTCAGGTCGATCGAAGCACGCGAGGGCTTTTATCCAAACCGTTAAAAAAATTTCTAAAATCACCTACACGGCTTACCGGTTCTCACTTTTGACAAGCGCCAAAGTCGTCTGTTTAAATCAAGATTAATAGAGTTATACGCTTTAACATGATAAAAAATTTATTATGTTTATTTCTTTATTTAACGGTTTTATAACTATGTGTAATCTTCAAAAGCGTTTGATACAGGCGGCATTTTGACTACTCCTGCAAGCGATGTTCGTGAGCAACTGAAAACAACAGGCACAGCGATTAAAATTGCAAAAGAGACTACTAACAATCAATAAAAGGATAATGATTCGGTGAAACATATACAGAGACAACAATTTTCATTCACGAAGACAAGTAAAAAGTGTTTCTGAAAATCCTTGCTTATGATTTAAGCCGGCAGTTCCCGGCGTTTGCTTTTTTCAAAGATGAACTCGAGGCAAGAAAATCGCTCAAAGCTTTCTTTTACAGCCAGAATTATAACTAAATATTCTTTGGAACGTTTTCTTTCTTTTTGCAGTGAGAAAATGTCTAAAGGCTTTTTAAAGTTCTTTAAGCTTATAATCAAACCTGATACTCGGTCAATCGATCATTGTCTCAAATCTTACAAACGTGCATAAACTAGATAGCCGCGTAAACTACGCCCGACTTCATTAAATTAGATATAAAAAACAAACATCAAATACAATAATTACCCAGGCTTACCATTCGAGATGCTCTGAAAACTATCAAGTAAGGCCAGAATCGCTTCAGACTTTTCAACCCTCTTACGCATCAAGCAAGGTGACAAACGAAAACGATGCCATCCGAAATCGGATTTCCGACTTTGACAAGCGACGTATTTCTCAACCAAAAACCCAATAAACAAACTAGCCATGAATAACAGAAGATTCTTGATAGCAGCAGAATTTCATTTTGTACATTCAGCGGAGAAAGACAGTTAAAAACATCACAAGTTGACACAAAACTCTGTCAGCTTCAGCTGTCAAAGTAAACAAGTTTCAAGATGCTGCATAAATTTTCCGCATGAACTCACCTTTCAAATTTTGACCAATCAGAGCATAAAAATTGGACGTAGAGCGTGACCAACGCGTGACCTTGGTGAGAAAAGTCAAAAGCAACTGGCATGTCTTCCCTGCCTGTAAAAACTGGCTGAATTTAAGCTTCCGAGGTCAGTTTGAAAACAAAATTTTAATTGTGCGACACATATAAAACACAACATATTTCATATGAATTAAAAAAATTAAACTTGAGCCTGCGATCATTTGAAAACTAGTAACTTGTCAGCGGATAACTTCAAAAAGATACTCGACCTCGATGGGTCGACACCTGAACCCGCGATACGGTCAGGTGATACTGGTCAGCGGATACCCTGTTTTGACAGCTGTCAATTGATCACAATATTGATGTACAATATGTGTTCAATATCAGTCTTCCTGTGCTACCAAACTAGCTAGAAAGTGTGAGATTGAACATTGGTTTTCCTGTGGTGCGGACGGACGGGCGGGCTGCGGGCGGTGTACGGTCACGTGATTACCAAATTTTCTCGGATGGGTAGATTTACTTACCCATGGTGCTCCGCAGGCGCGCTTCGCGCGCCAGAGCTCCGCTATTATTTGGCTGAGTCTGTTTTCGCCAAGCGATTGGTCAATTTGCGGTCCGTAACTTGCTATACGGACCAAAATTTTTAAAGAAAATGCTCATTTCGGAGGTCTAAATCTCTTTACCTCGGAAAAAATGTTGAAATAAAGTTATAAGACGCCTGTCAACCGTGAGGACTTGGATGTTGTCTTTGGCCTTCAACATTTTATACTGTGTTTATTTGTGAACAAAAGCGATGAAGAAACTAACTCGTAATCTTATCGAAGAGGATTCTAGTCAGTGTTTGAAAATTTTATCGTAGTACACAGTTAAGAAGACGAAAATCGACGGGCAGAGATTCGAGACGTTTTGCCTAAGAGAAAATGAGTAATTCCTTCAACAAATATGATAACAAACATACCTGCACCCGATCATGTTGACAAGATTCTTTGCCATTTGCAGTGTTTTTTCAAAAACCAACGAAAGAAAGATAGAGGCGAGTTCGAGCCAGACACCATAATGTCCAGTTTTCAAGAGACTCCAGCGTCACATTAACGAGTTAATACTTACAGTGCTCTTAGTTTCCACCGAATAAACTTTGAAATATATATGTAAACCCTGAGGACTGGGATGTTGACTTTGCCTTTCCAAATTTTAACCTTGCTTTGTTTTAATAAGAACGATGCTGTGGTCGAAACTGAATTGTAACCTTACCAAGCAAGAGAATTCTAGTCAGTGTTTGAAAATTTTAACGCAGATCACAATTGAAGACGAGAATGAACTGGCAGAAAGAGAGGTTTTCCCAAAAACAATTAACGAGCGAATCCTTCGACAATGACAACAAACTTACCTTGAAAAGCTTCTTTGCCTTTTGCAGTGTTTTTTCATAAGGACAAACGGATGAAAGATGGAAACGACTTCTAGACAGACACAGTGTCCGGTTTCCAAAATACTCCAGTTTTACATTAAAGAGCTAAAACTTACAGTGCTCTTAGTTTTGACCGAATAAACGTTTTAACATGGCGAATTTGTTTTTACTTTCTCGGAAAGCCTTTGTTATGTGCTATTGTTTTCGTGCGCCAATAAAAACTTTCTTTTTTGACACCTGTCAAATGACTGTCAAATCGCGCTTCCTGCACTTGTTTCCGGTCCCCCAAACAGGAAGAAGCCATATAATAAACATCTTATTAGCCTCGTTTTTTTCCATCGATTTATGGCCCGTGCGCTTCGCGCTTGGGCCATAAATCGATGGAAAAAAAACTCGGTCCGTAATTTACAGTACGAACCGAAAACTCGGCTAATAAGAGGTATTTATCAATGTCGAAAGAAAATGTCAGAAAGAGAGAGAAAAAATAAGAATTTAACAGAAGGAAATTTACTCTGCAAAAAATGTCCTATTTTCTGATATACTTTTGCAAAAAATGCGTGCCGTACCGATTTTTAAAATTACTCCACATATTTCTTTTCCTTATGCCAAAAGCTTTCGTGTAAGGTACGGGTCACCGCCGGCTTAATAGTTATAAGTGCTAGAAGCTGAACGTCTGAACAGTTCTTTTACATACGTTGCTAAGGTAACTACTATTGAGGAAAAAACACTTAATGTTGTAAGCGTTCACTGTAAAGTGCAATTCTAATAATTATAGTGCTTCTATGGCTTTGTCTTGCTTTTTTTTGCTTTGTGCCTTTAAGGTTAAAACCGTCAAAAGGGTCAAAATAAGCCATATTTGAACATTTCTTTAAACTTCCATTTTTCTTTCACGATGCTAGAAACCAGCTAAGACCACCAGAGAAGGTCATAGACGGGTCCAGTAGTAGATAAGAGCGGCTTTGCTTGCATGCAAGTTGCATGCCATGTTACCTTTAGTTACGACTTTGTTTGCTGTTCAGAAGAGGAATCATCATAAGTCTCAATACCGGCGCCAATTCCTTATAAAGGAATGGTTGCACTGCTAATAATTAAGATCAAAATTCGAAGACAAAGGGCTTAAATTTTGGGTCATTCACCCACCAAGCCGATTAGAAAAGACGTTCAAGTTATTTCCTTAAATCCTCGACCATAGGAGAAGAGGAGACAAGCTCTGCGTGGCTTTCACGTGTTTTTTGGCCACATCCGCCTGTACGGACGTATAGTTTTAATACATCGCCGGTTTTCGTGATAAAAATTGTACTCAAGTGTCTATGATATATATAAAGAAATTTGACTTCTGTGAGACTTCCAGACCCGTTGTTCTCTCTTGATTTAATTATTATTTTGAGTAAATCCATCTACTGACATGTTTTATTTGTAATGAGGTAATCATAGTATAGCAACCTTGAAGAAAGCCTTATTCTTGTCACATAGGGCCCAAAAAGCCAACAACATCACGTAACTAGGTCAAAATTTGGCCATGACATCCTTTTATCCATAGAAGTCTATAATACCTGCAGATCTTTCTACCTGTGACTTTTCAACTTGAAACACAAACACTAAAATAAACATACTCTCACTAAATAATTTGTAGGCAGAATCTGTCGATGTTTTCATTAAATAGCAAAAGCGACCCGGTGAAACAACAACAATAACAACAACAATAACAACAAAGAAGCAAACAAAGAATAAAATAGGTGAGTATGCCTGCAATCTGACATGTTTCCTCGATCAATGCCGGCTGAAATTTCTTTAATCGGATGTAGATTCTCAGCTACGACCTTATAATGGGGATTAGAGGGTGTTAAGTGTCTATGGAGTTTTTTTTTCTTTTTATAAACACTGACCACAAATGAACTGGACTGTTTGCATTGTTGTTTCCGCCATCTCACCCAAAATGGCGCTTGCTGACCATTTTCAATTATTGTCACTCAAAAGGAAAAACTTTTTAATGACCACGTTAGCGGTAGTAGGTTCCTTTTTGCAAATACAAGGTAAACCTCTAGTTTGGGCTTTTATATACTATTTGTAAATGTTGGATTTATCGAGGTTCCATAATTTTGTTTTCACCAAGGAATTTAATTTAACGAGGCGAGTAGAGTTAGCAACGCAGTTTTAGGCTCTAGAATATGTGCTCTCTTTTTCAGCATTTACGTGGAATAAGGCACCTTCAGATCCTGTTTATGGAATTCTTGGTGAAAACGTTACTCTCAGATGGAGTTTCAAAACAAATGCCTCAGACAAGCTTGACTTATTTATTCTACTTAAAGACGGCATGGATATGATCAAGTACAGCGATGTGACTGATAAAGTAGTCTATTATAAGCCATACATAGGAAGTGTTGTACTAGAGAGAAATGCAACCCCATCCTTTACCCTTATCAATCTGAAAAGTGATGATGTCGCTAAATATTGCTGTAAAGTGAACACAAAGGCTACAGGAGGATCACATGGAGATGTCCACTCCAGTTGCACCCATCTTAAATTGTTAGGTAAGGCATTTTCACCGTGCTATCTTTCTTTTCAGACAAATTGTTTACAAATTACTGTATGAGTCTAAAGGCGGCAAGTGCAACGATATATTTAGGAATAGCTGGCGACACTGTTATATCTTGATACTAGTGAACAGTCCATCGCGCACATATAAAAAGTCCAAGAGAGCCTTGTGTCCTGGCACCCCGGGAAGGAAGACCTGTTGTTAGTAATCTTACTAAACTGATAAATAATTTCCTACAATCTTGAGAGGTAGAACAACCTCTCACAGCAAATAAATAAGCGCCACATGAGCGGACGTTCATTTGAGTGAACAGAACTGATCTTTTTGTCAGCTTAATACAGCGCTTATACAGCGTAACTAACAAATGGCAAGTACTGCTCTCCAATCTGGTTTTATTTACGTGAAGGCTTGAATTAAATCGTGTTTTAGCTGGTGAGTTGAACTATTTCGTCCTCAGTTCTTAGTCCTCACATTACAATTTTCAGTCTCCACGGTTCTCCTTGGTTTCGTGAGCATGTTGTGTTTTTCCCTTTCACTGGGCAAAGGTCAAATGAAAAATTATAGGCTCTGAAGCTGTGGCTAATAAAATATTTTAAATGTCTTTGTCAACGGACTTCAATCTCAGTGTCGTCTAAAATACTCCTGTTTGAACTCCCATTTGTTTGATTGAGTAATATAATAAAAGTGACTTGATAGCGAATGCATGTAACTTATAGTACTCACTGGCTTGTGTACTTGACAATTTCATAAGTTAAACGCGATGATCATAAATTCCACCGAGTATCGTTTTCATCGCAACTTCATCTGCGCTGAAAATAGGTCGCCAAGATTAAATATGAGGGTCTGATCAGCGTGATTTGATCTGATGTACTGACTGTACATCAAGTACAAACCATAATGTAGATACGCACGGACCCTGCTGCTGTACATAGGTTGTCAGGATCAATATATGATAATGAGTTTAGTGCCAAAGGCTTTTTTACTACCTTGTGCTTGCTGCTAAAATCCTAAAAAGCGATCATTTGTATTTTAGTATTTTCCCACTATTTGTGTGTTTTTCTTTTGTTTTTGCGAATTCTAGCCCGTCCTTCGATCACGTCGGCCATCTCAAGCAATAGAACACTAAACGAGACTAATGATGTAACCCTGTCGTGTACTGCAAGTGGTAAACCCCCTCCTAATGTCACGTGGACAAAAGCTGATGATGTGGGTAATGTCCTTAGCTGGAGCTCTTTTCTAGAACTAAAGAACATCACTAGGAAACAGGAAGGCTTATATAGGTGCACAGCTGACAATGGACTCGGTAAAGCCGAATCTTCTATTAGGATAGTTGTTCAGTGTAAGTACGTAACTTTGTTAAAGTCTATATAGGTGTAAGGTATTTGGCCATGAACGTTTGCGTTTGAATTGGCCGTCGACAACAATAATACTCAAAGGAGTTCTCATAGGCGAAATTTAGTCTGATTTATTCGAAATATTTAGGAAAGGTGAGGGATTAAATAAGAATGAATGCAAAACAAGGCAATCAACATATAATGCTAGCAATTGCCATTGATTTCGTGACATTTAAGTCAAAGGAATTGTCTACCCTGATTTCTTCGTCGTTTGGGAGACTGAATTTCATCGTAATCGTGTTTTGCAATAATGTCATTGTTTTTTTAAATGTTCTTTAAATCTTGCAGATGCACCATCGATCAAATTGTCTACGACAAGGTACAATTTCACTGAAGGCACAGACATGACCCTTCTTTGTGAGAGTGATGGTGTTCCCGCTCCTACTGTCACGTGGTCAAAGATTGGAGCGGTTAGCAATTTTTCTTATCCCTCTGCTCAGAGGCTTATCATCAGGAATATTAGCAGAACGGAGGCTGGTACCTACAGGTGCACGGCCTCAAATGGCATTGGGAAACCTGCACTCCATGTAATGCACGTCAACGTGTTTTGTAAGTTTACTAACCTAAGTTATATCATAATGGATACAAAATCTTTTAATTTTGAACGGCTGAATATCATTTTCTTCTAACTATTTTAAAAATATAGGGAAAGTATAAGTGAATATTCTTATAATAATACATAAATATAATTCGGGCCGTTAGCGACTCTGACTGTCTCATGTAAGGTTTGTATTAGATCTTGTGCTGCTGAAATAAAATTTCCGTGTAATCTGTACGACATATTTCGGCGTCCATTAGTCATTTTTAATCCTTCGTATATCACTAATGATCATCGCTTCCTAACTAAATTTTATGATCTCCCTTATAAATTCATGCAGATCAATATGCATTCACTGCTAATGTGATCTTTACCGTCTTGTAGATCCCGCAAGTATTGTCAGAGGACCGTTAAGTCAAACAGTGAATGAGACAACAGACCTCCATCTGTTCTGTAATGCGACTGGCAATCCTCAGCCACTGATCAAGTGGTTCAGATTCAGAGGACTCATACTTCTCGGACTCCCGTCATTTGATGGCATCCTCATTGTGAGAAACATCAGTAAATCCGACTCGGGAATTTACAAGTGCATCGCTATTAATGGTATTGGATATAAAGCAGATGCTACGTCCACTGTGACCGTCAACTGTAAGCCTGACTAATTTCGGCTATTTATGTTATGCCAGTGTAAATGAGAGTAGGAAAGAGGAGGGTGAAAGGCGTTCAAAAGAGAGTTAAGAAGTCACGAGATCCGGAGAAAAAACATGTTGAGAAAATGTAAACCGTAGCTAGGCTTTCGAACAAACAGAAACAGCTTGCCAACCAGCAAAATGGTAGCTATGAACTTCAAAACATCTGATTGTTTTTGCTTTGCAGTTCAAGTTTTAAATCCACGTCCTAACGCTACTATGCATAGTCGTTTTGGTGAACCTTTCCGGTAATTTATGTCAATGACTCACTAATGTTTTGTTTTGGCTTCTAGATAAACCAAGGACCACGCTTTTGACACCCAACGCAACTAAAGTCAAGGCGATAGAAGGCCATCCAGTGACATTCTACTGTAAAGCGGATGGTGTGCCTCCCCCAATACTTGAGTTACATTTCAATGGTGTTTTATTGGGTTATTTCATCAATGGCCAATATGTTATGGAAAAAATTAACGCTACTGACCGAGGAAAATACGAATGTGTAGCACGCAATATTCTTGGAATCAGGCGAATAACAACTTTTCTCGTTAATGTGTTAGGTAGGTATGAGTGAAGAGAAGATAGATAACAAGTTTTGGTTTATGTCATCTTTTGCTGGGTTTTCGAGCACCATTGGAGCAATCACCCGCTTGAGCAAGAGGATAATGATTATGATGTCGTCCTACATGTAGCTGAAGCAGTTCCAAGCATGACTTTCATAACTCTTCCAGGAAACTAATAGAGCCGTAAGAGGTGATCGGCTAATTCTTCGGGCGATCCCGCACCTGTTTGAAGATTGTTTTTGATTAGCTGGGAAAACAATAGGGATTGTTACATAAGAATGCCCCTATCCCTGAAAACAATGGAAGTGCAGATTAAAGGGGACCAGTGAAATAAGAGGTTTAGGACATTGCAGGTCTACTGAATTCTTCTTTCGGATTCACATTTTATTTTTTTAATTCCTTCTCCCTAACTAATGCACCAACACTCATAAAATTTCTCGGTTTGTAGAGCTTTAAAGTAGGAGAAGATGCAGTAAAAGAAAAGAGGCCTTATACATACATGTATATAGGAGCTACACGTAAAAGGCTGTCAGTTCATGGGTTCGTTTATAAGTGAAAATAAAAGGGCGTTACACTGAACGGTTAAAAGCTTCGAGATGCCTTACCCAGTGAGTTACCCTTTAAGTTAAATAAAAATTTATTTTTCAGTTCCGCCATCGCTAGATTTTGTCACCAAGAATGCAACAATAAACGAGAAAGATAGCCTTGAGCTGTTTTGCAACGCAACTGGCAAGCCTCGTCCAAACATAACATGGACCTTCCTGGGTGGTGCTGATGAAGGGTACTCCAGAAAAGGGGAAACTCTCACTATTTCAGATGTTAAAAGGAATCAGGCTGGATTTTATCAGTGCACAGCTTCTAACAACGTGACTAGCATACAAACAGTAAATGTGCTTGTTACGGTGAGCTGTAAGTAAAACGTGTTACTCCTTTAAGTTTGATTCCTGTTACGAAACACATCTGATGAAATATCACCGAATGAAGTGTTGCGAGTAATGTAACATGTTTTCAAAAGTTGCACAATTTGTTTAGAGCCTTGGAGGTTTCTTGTGATCAGTTTCCTTTAAAACAAGGTGTTCCTCAGGGATCATGTTTGGGCCCCTTGCTTGTCACTATCTACACGCGCAACTGTTTCAGATCGTTGAACGCCACCTCCCACAAGTTCATTTCTACGCGGATGATACACAGTTGTATGTATCATGCCCCAATCGATCTGCGGATGCTGATTTTGCCATCAAGTCCATGACTGACTGTATGAGGAGTTGGGTGATTTCAGATAATCTTATGTTAAACGATGATAGAACAGAATTTTTAATTATAAGTACTAGGCAGCAGCTGGCCAAGGTTAACATCAATTGCATGAGGGTTGGGTCGACTGATGTTTGTCCTGTAACAGTAGCTAGAAACTTAGGCTTATGGTTTGATAAGCAGCTCACTATGTCAACTCATTTTAGCAAGTTATGTGGTGCTACCGTTTACCATTTGCATAATATCAAAAGCCTTCGCAAGTATTTGTCACGAGAATCAACGGAAATGCTTCATGTCCATGCATTTATTACATCTCTTGTTGATTATTGTAAAAGTCTTTTGTATGGGCTACCCAACTACCAGCTTAACAAATTGTACAGAGTTTTGAATGCCTCAGCCAGGCTAGTTTGTAATGCCCTTAGATTTTGCCACATCTCACCCCTTCTTCGTGGACCGCATTGGCTTCCTGTTAAAGCCCGGGTACAATTTAAGATACTGCTTATTACGTTCAAAGAAATTCACGGCCTAGCCCCTAAATATCTATGCGATTTACTAACATTTAAATCGTCCTTATATAACCTTAGATCTTCAGGTAGTATTTTACTTTCTATGCCAGCTGTTCGATCGAAAACGTTAGGTGATAGAGCTTTTATGGTAGCAGCGCCAACGTTCTGGAACTCTCTTCCAAAAGAACTTCGTGCGATTACTAATGTGAACAGTTTTAAGGCGCATATTAAGACTTTTCTTTTTAGAACTTTATATTGGTGAGCAATTTTATATTCAGTTCCTCCTTGCATGCATATATATTCTTTTTATTGTTATTTATTTAAAGTAATGTAGTTGTAATGCGCAGCTGATCATTGTTATGTTAAGTTGCGCACAATAAGTTCATAAATTACTATTATTATTATTATTATTATTATTATTATTATTATTATTATTAAGGTAACTTTGTCCAGAAATTACACTGCCTTACACACCGAAGGGTAAAGAAAATTATAGGTCATCCCCAGAACTGAGTTAATGTGTTCTGGAAACGTTGAATAAACACTCGTTTAGATCTAGCTGTTTGTCTATTATCAAAATTGCCCCAAAAGGTTCACGAAAAGCAATTACAGCAACTTCTGTTTAAATAGAAGAGGTTTGACTTTTGACGGCTTTTTGTTTTTGACCTTGTTTAATAAGCTTGGACTTCTAAAAATCTCCATCAATTAACAGCGACAGTTGATAAAAAAAGTTCCCGCATGTGATGGAAATTGCAAAATTATACAGAATCTTTCTAATTGCCTTACTACAGTGCAAGATTAAGGTGGCAGTTCTAGCCCATGCTCTCTCTTCTTTCACCTTAGATAAACCAGAGATCAAAGATAGAAGCGAAACCACAACGCACAACATCATGTCCTGGATTGGCCGTGAAACGAAAATCACTTGTGAGGTGGAAGGAGTTCCGTTACCAGAAATAATATGGACTCGTAATGGCAGAGTGGCATCTTCAAAAAGGTTACATCCCCGCGTCAGTACACTAACGTTCACTCCACAAAGAGAAAGCGATTTTGGTGTCTATTTGTGCAAAGCTAGCAATTTTCTTGGGGTTGCAAGGAAGGTTGTTAACGTTGAAATGCTAGGTAAGTTTCGTCTAAAAGTTTTTAAGATCGTTTATGCTCAATTAGTCCCTACCAAAACGCTGTTCATGCTTATTATTTATGAGACTAGACGTTTGAGTTAAAGTTCACGAAGAAGCTTAAATAAGTCTTTCTTTCCAATTCCATTAATCAACGAATGGTTGAAACACAAACACCGTAAGCAGTGTTGCTTTAAAACTGTGTCATGGACCGGTACAATATATAAGATACATTAGATAAGTTCTGTGGATGTGACACGAATGTAATGGAATAACATGCTCGTGACGGCGAACATATTGATAAAAAAGGTCGACATTTTGAGATTCCCAGCTTGAAAAATTTGGTCAAATCTTATACCAGCATGGACCAATATATCCCCTTTGTTTGAGGAACATCAATGGCCACCGTGACGTCGTATATATGCAGCTTAATTGCACATCACATTATGTGCCAACTAAGGAAGGGTTCACAGACTAACATAAACTATGGGCCATGTCCCCAGTATTGAAACAAGTTTCTGACCCACAGCTAAGCCACAAGCACCGATAATTTTGGAAGTTCTCGCAGGAGTTAATGACTTGGTAATACGTTGGAATGCGTCCATCACCCATCCTGCTGGACCAGTCCGGGATTATCTAGTACAGGTGAAAGAGGAGGATGATCCACTGAGACTAAAAAATTGCTCGCGAATTGAAGAAATTGCTTCCTCGTTTACCTGTGTTCTGGACAATTTGAAGAGTGGTACTGTGTATTTTGTGCGCGTTGCAGCACGGAATATTGTGGGATACAGTGACCTTACAAAGGAGGAAATTCGAACAAAAGATGTTGATGACGATGAAAATAAAGGTGCGAGGACTTCACATATAAATACATTTTTTTAATTATATAATTCCCCTTCAAACGGAGAAATACTATTAGTTAAGGCTGCTTTTTGCTGTACAGCAATTATAACAAAGAGAGGCACATAATATGAAAAAGCTCTACTTTATTGTTTACTGAGGCTTTGCGTATCATCTGGGAGAGAGTTTTGCTCGTAAATACTGATAATAATAAGGATGATAATGATAATGATAATATTAATGGTAGTGATAACAATGATGCTAATGATGGTAAACGTGGTGAATGTGTAACGATTGTGATTGATTATTTTGGTTTTATCAAGGGAAACCAGACGAGACCCAGCATCGCTTTGAAAAAGAGGTTAATTTTTAAGTTACTGATTTCCCCAAAGCTATTTAATTATTTTGTTAAATCCCTTTTACAGAAACGGGCGCCTTAAAACAACACAAAGGCAAGTCTACATACGTAGTTGACGCTATTATTGGAGGGGTCATTGGCTTGAGCAGTCTGGTCGTAATAATTGTAGCTATAGTGATAAACAGACGACCTTGCCACAAAGGTATCTGGATAGACTTCTATAACTGTATAATACGCTAAGATTAGATATAGTTTCGTTGTGGTAATTACTTTTTTATTCAAGGGGATTTGTGCAAAAGATCAGACTACAACCTATGAGTAGGTTTAGGTTCGCCGACATGGACGATAATGTCAAAGTCATTCTGATTCCAGGGGAGAATTGGGGCGATTATATGGGAACCATAGCAACTNGTTAATGACTTGGTAATACGTTGGAATGCGTCCATCACCCATCCTGCTGGACCAGTCCGGGATTATCTAGTACAGGTGAAAGAGGAGGATGATCCACTGAGACTAAAAAATTGCTCGCGAATTGAAGAAATTGCTTCCTCGTTTACCTGTGTTCTGGACAATTTGAAGAGTGGTACTGTGTATTTTGTGCGCGTTGCAGCACGGAATATTGTGGGATACAGTGACTTTACAAAGGAGGAAATTCGAACAAAAGATGTTGATGACGATGAAAATAAAGGTACGAGGACTTCACATATAAATACATTTTTTTTAATTATATAATTCCCCTTCAAACGGAGAAATATTATTAGTTAAGGCTGCTTTTTGCTGTACAGCAATTATAACAAAGAGAGGCACATAATATGAAAAAGCTCTACTTTATTGTTTACTGAGGCTTTGCGTATCATCTGGGAGAGAGTTTTGCTCGTAAATACTGATAATAATAAGGATGATAATGATAATGATAATATTAATGGTAGTGATAACAATGATGCTAATGATGGTAAACGTGGTGAATGTGTAACGATTGTGATTGATTATTTTGGTTTTATCAAGGGAAACCAGACGAGACCCAGCATCGCTTTGAAAAAGAGGTTAATTTTTAAGTTACTGATTTCCCCAAAGCTATTTAATTATTTTGTTAAATCCCTTTTACAGAAACGGGCGCCTTAAAACAACACAAAGGCAAGTCTACATACGTAGTTGACGCTATTATTGGAGGGGTCATTGGCTTGAGCAGTCTGGTCGTAATAATTGTAGCTATAGTGATAAACAGACGACCTTGCCACAAAGGTATCTGGATAGACTTCTATAACTGTATAATACGCTAAGATTAGATATAGTTTCGTTGTGGTAATCACTTTTTTATTCAAGGGGATTTGTGCAAAAGATCAGACTACAACCTATGAGTAGGTTTAGGTTCGCCGACATGGACGATAATGTCAAAGTCATTCTGATTCCAGGGGAGAATTGGGGCGATTATATGGGAACCATAGCAACTTCAAAATACCTTGTCACTAGTGTGCTTTGCCTTGAAAACTATGGTCCCCCAGTGGTTAACTGGGAATAAACTGATACCGTGGTCCCCTAGTGGAACCGGCCGTAACACCTGACTTCCATGTTATCATCTGGATCACTACATCGTCCTGGACGTTTTTAGGACGATTGAGAAAATGGAAGAAAAAACGGAAGTTTATTTCGAAATCAGCCTATTATATATATAAATGTATAATCGATTTTTGATCTTTGCGCATCACCACTAGATGACTCGCGATCGAAGGTTTAAACTAGTGGTCAGTTTATGATCATTTATGCTAACTGATGTTAATGTGTGATTATAAAGCAGTAGAATCATCTTTGTTTCTAGCAGCTGAGTGTGGCAGTCATGAAATCCGCAATTTGCTCAAACATTTTGAACATAATTAACATTTATATAAACTAATAATGGCGACCTAGCCTCTAAAACTTTGATCAATGTTTTTTTTTTCATAATAGTTTTCGTCCTTTATTCTTGACTTTTCTTTATTTAATCTTTACTCCTGACCTAACATGAGTTCAAATTGATTCAAATCGTATTCAATTTGTTCCATTTTGTAGGCAGTAAGAAAAGCAACATTGATAAAAGGTGAGCCACACAATCTCTTCACTTTTTTACTGAAATGCATAAGTTATATGATAACTTGCTGAAGCAATTGTCAGCAAACACTTTAATTCTCCGTGGGTCAAAGAGTGACTCTTTTATTTTGCTTTTATTTAGGTTCAAGGACGGCCATGACAATGAAGGCTTCGCGGAAAACCCGAAGGCTGATGAATTGCAGGTATGTAAACCAGGCTAGATCGTTAGAATTGTGTTCTATCCGAGAAAAGGTAACCCCTGCTCAACTTATGTTATTCCTCTATCTAGAACACCAGAGTCCTTTTCTCCCCTTTTTAATTTAAATGAAGTGTGCATTTGTAACCATTATTCTGGCAGAGCACCACGAACACTGCACTGAAAAGGATACCTGATGACCCTAGGTTTTGTTGTTGTACTGGCTGACGTTAAAACTAATCCAACAGTGGTGAGCCAAGAGGTTTTGCATCATTATTCCGCTGTTCAATGTCACATAGATTTTCAATTTTGGCCATCGTAGTCCTCATAGCGAAGCTCTTGCGCACGTGAGGCGCTCACAGCGGAGCACCATGGGCAATAGAACTGGGTTATCTATACATCCAAGAAATTTTGGTTGTTAGTCCGTCCGTACGTATGTACGTGAAATTGGACATCCATGTTATGTTTAATTGACAGCTGTAAAAACCCGTTATCCCACTGACCAGTGTTACATGAAGTTCTTGAGCAGTTATTTGTTTTCAATTGATCGCCGGTTCAGGTCCATCTTTTTTCAGGAGGTTTTCAGTTTGCTTCTTGCTTATAGCAAAAGTTAAATTGAGTAAAAGATGCCGCTTTTGGCTTTGGCTAAATCTATATATCGCAACCAGCTTTTGATAATCGAAGGATCGAAGCTATCTATATAATTATTGGGCAGTATTCACTCCATAGCGAATAGATAGAGACGGGAAACAAAATGGCTGGCGTGAAATCGGAGTTTTGCCGCCAAAGGTTCAGAGTATAACCGTTTGAAAGTACAACAAAATCCTAACATTGACGTTCTGCAGAAAAGAGAAAAAAATTCAATTCTATTAATAAACGTTTTCTGCTCACCTCGATGAGAGCCGCCATGACAGCAATTACAAAGGAAACCTTTTCATTAAGTTGGCGAGTTGACAGATCCAAGCAAACAGCTCTTATTTTATTCTCAGGTTGGGTAACAACATAAAGTCTTGACTATCCCTTTTAAACCGCTGACACTATAGTTTGCAAAAGGACAGAAAATATGAGTTGTATGTTTTAAAATCCTGCAAAGATCCGACTTTGCACGCGTTGTTGACCGCTATATGCGCCTTTTTCGCGTATGAAATGATCAGTCAATCGAATCGTTTGAATGGCTTCCTCTCTGCCACTATTCTCCTTGATCCCAAGAACAGGTGATACGTATCGTTAGCAAAAAGAGAGGTGAGCTTCTCGCGACTTGCTTCAGGCTTGGTATTGGCGAAACGAGTGGGTAATTGCATGGTAGAAGGTACCCCAAAGGATCGTTTGGAGGAGGCACCAAAAACATAACGGACAGCACCAAGTCACCTATTAAATATTCCCTCATGGTCATTCTGACCGAAGGATATATGTCTGGTGCATTAGAGGTGGATAATAGGGAAGATAAGATGTATTTCTTAAACTATTAATTACTGCAGGTTGCAGCACAGCAGTTGTTGTTGTTTGTTGAACTTAATGCTGTCCTTCAAAATGATCAAAAGAAGCTTTGTGGTCCCATATCGTACCCAGTTTTTCACTCGTTTAGAACATGCGAATTGAATTCACCATCTGTTTTGTTTACAGGAGCAACAAGTATAATGGAGAGCTTAGATAAGTGGAACTACAAAGAAGGCTTGTCGGGGAACGGGGTCCCGCCTCAAGCAAGCCTTCAATGAAGATGAAGGACATCGAGTCGATAGACTGAAAAAAGTCATTATCGAGTGTGTATCACAGATTTTGTCAATGGGGTTTAGTTTTTACCCTTATTAGTGAGATCAAACTTTGTAAACACTTTTAAAGGATGATATTTGTAAATATTAGCACTAAGTTTGATAAATATTTTAGAAGGTAAACAGAGGAGAACCTAATTTTACGTGCCACTGGTACGTAACACCCGTAACAAAAACTTTTAAATTGTATTTCTTAGAAGCTACGAGCAAATTCTTACATCTAGCCATGGCATGGGAAAATAACAGCCCCCTCCTCGTGGGGTTTTGCGTTTTTTTGTCCACCTTATTTTAATTCTCATAACTAGAGCAGGAGATTTTCGTCAGTCTATGCAAAACTATGTCTCAGAAGTAAATGATTGGCTATTATTATTATTATTATTATTATTATTATTATTATTATTATTATTATTATTGGAAAAGGAGGTTTGGAAACATAAAATAGCAACGAACAATATACAGGTCGATGTAGAACCCACTACACACAAATATCATGGCTGCACTGACAAAACACAGCAATAATCGTTATCTATTATTCTGATACGAAGGGTGACAAAATAACTATCAATAAAACATTTGAGCAAGATGAGTACCTCCACGCTTATAATTCACCCCACCGACCCTGAAAATAATGTTCATCTAACTTGTTCAAGTCGTTTTCCAACTGAAAGCAAGCCAAACACAATATGGAAAATAAACAAAACATGTTGGCATGAGTTTAAAACCTTTGCCACCAATCTTTTCTCCAGAGCCTTCATTACCGCAGGGAAACTGGTAACAGACGCTCTGGAAAAATCAGAAACCGGATCTGCAAAGTCCCGGTTTCGGTTTAATTACTTCCTAAAGGAGTCGTTAACTAGTTACTGACCAAGAAAGGTCCCCAGGGGAATTTTTTTGGAAACCACAATTTGAATAGGCGCCGTAGTTCCGTAATAGTCACGAGCAGATAAATTTACGTTACCTTCGATCGCGACGAATTTAGTAAAGAAAGCATCTTTAGTTAAAGAAGACCGAAAAATATCAATGCAATAACGCGGTGACAAGCTTGATCCTTGTCCTGTAACGACTGAAACATTCGTGAGTCATGACGGAACACATTCTTTGTGTTCGCTCCATTACGGCTGCCAATTGTGCGAATTTTGAAAGCTTTCGTCAACTGAACTGATAAGAAGCAACTTTGGCAGTCACTTGTAATGTGTGTTATTCATCTTTAAGGTTTGTTACTAATCGTTCGGAATTCTCTGACCCAATCCCCCCCAAATTCTCTTCCCTTGCAGGGAAGAGAATTATCTTGAGACACCATTTTGAACCACGGCTCCACGGTATTTTTCGCGGGAAAATTAGCCCTATTCAGACCGGGGATTTTCGAGGCCCTCCCTCCCGCTAATAAGATGGATAACGCCAAGACCGTTTGAGCTTTGACCAACAAAATTAGCGACTATTCCCAGGAGCCTATAACCCGGAGAGGGTTGTGCACATGCAACTGTGTTTCTATTTAGCTCAATTTTCCCGCAATTTTGAATATCAAATAAGTCTTACAAGTCGGGTATCAAGAACTGGAGAATGGAAAATAGTATATCTGATGTTTTGATAGCATCTAATTTTTCTTTTTGTCATTATTATCGTACTATGGATGGGCACACATACGGGACGTTGCTTCCATTTTCCCGGGAAAAAGTACTCCAAAATGATGCTGAAAATAAACTTATCTGTGGAAACGCCGTTGCATGTACTAAGTATGGGAGTGGCACTCCTCCAGATTATGAGCTCCTGCTTTTCTGAAAAATTAACTGGGAATATCTTTAAGTCGTTAACATTGATGTTACCATTGCAACCGAGTTTTAAAGAGTTTTTGCAAAATCTGCCTTTTCCTTTAAAAAGGATATATTTCTATTATTACTTACTGTAAGAGTACACTTAATTTAGCAGTATTTTATCAAATGTATTACAACTGTCACGGTAATGCAGGCTTTTTAGTGACTAATTTGAGGGAAAAAAATTACATGACTAAATGGCACATGCTGGGTTAAATTTTTAACAGTGTTTTTTTTTTTCTCGAAATGTCATAACTGGTGGATCCTTTTTTTCTTTGCTTTTTATTGATCCGTTTGTACACAGATATTGTTTTTTCTCAAGATTACCAGGAGTTATACGGTTTGTATAGGCAATAGCATGATTTGTAGTGATATTTGGTATAAATACCACGAGTGATGTTTCCAAATTGTTATACGTAATTTCACGAGCCGTTAGGCGAGTAAAATTTGGGACAATTTCGAAATGTCACGAGTGGTATTTATGCCAAATATCACGTACAAATCATGCTATTATTTGTTTATACTACTACCCACAAAGGTTTTGTAATTTTAACATGTAGGTATTTCAAATTAAGCTGAAATACCACTGCTCTAAGCCAATCAAATTACATAAATTTCTCATGTAGTAGTATAATAAGTAAAATAGAATACAGTTAATGAATTCGAAACGGTGGATCCAAGATGACCGATGATTCCAGTTCCTTCTTTTTTGTGATAATAATTGACGTCAATATGAAAGCACTGCTTTTGTTAAAGATTATTAATATTTTAGCCAACTTCTTCATTTTGTCCCACACGTCACTATTTATGTTTCACTTAAAAGGGAATAATGCGGGGGCGAGGCTAATGCGGGTCAACTTCTTTGCAAAAAAAACACTGAAAAACAAACATAGATAATTTTTTGCTGGAAAACTATAGAAATCTTAAAAATAGTAAGATTTCAAAGCTTAAACTTGCCAGTAAGCCAAAAGGTTATCTGTTGTAAACAACAAAATTGTGGAAAAAGCTGCTCGTACTTAACAGAAGAAAGGAAAAAAGTGACGAAGCCAAAAGAAGAAGTAAACTTTTTAAGCTTGAAAAGGGTAATTTTTGTTAAAATGACAATTTAACACCAACAACAACAAATTTTATTGAAAATTGGAAAAATAACTAATTACATTACTTTCCCACCCGCAAATAGCTTATAAACTAATCGAGGCGGTGGGGGAGGGGGGGGGGGGTGGGGATGGGAGAGCTGAGACATATTATTGTTTCGTAGTATTCTATTTTTACTCTTGTGTATATCTGTAAAATGGAGTTTAAACTGATCAGTATATCGTCTTTATAAAATTTAGTGTTTGAGTTCTTGTCGAGTGAAATGTGCGTACGTTTTTGACTGGATATTTTGATAAATAATGTAGGCTAGCTAAATGTAAGCTTATGTATAAATAAAAATGCAATTTTAGTCAACTTCGTTTAAACCAATTTAACTTCCTTACAGTACAAAGAATTTATGCAGAATGTCTGCCCGTTAGTTTATTTTTTTTTCAAATACACATGATTTTGCATTCGCTCCTTTAGAAAAAATGTCAACTAAAAAGAAGGTTTCAGTTTCACTTGCAGGCTTTCGACAAGTAAGTACACTCCAATGAAAGGTAGGCCTAAAGTAGTTTTAACCATATATCGCTGAAAATAACATTAAAATGGCTTCAGGATATTGCCTTGTTTAAGGATTTTGAAACCATCTTCGCATTTTTATTGAACTGATTCACCGACCACTATTTCGGTAAATTTCTGGTTAGTCTCGTTTATTTCTTAGTGACGACGAGCTGATTTTCCTTTTTGCTGTTTGAAACAATGATTTCTAAAGCCTGTAAGCAAGTTTGAGACCTCTAAAACCTTTCAACGTTTCAAAATTTCAAAATTTTTTCATCGATTTGTTAGTCTCGCTTTCGCGCAAAACAAGCACTCGTCCTAGGTCGCCCGGGAATACGAAACTCGCCTATTCTGGTAGGTGGGCCTCCAAAGCACTCCCTTGGCATGAAGCAAAAAAAGGAAGAAGAAGCCAGGTCTGAATAAAGTTTTAACCCTATTCAGCTAATACAATTTACTCCTCCCATTCTCATCATTGTTCAGACAACTGTGTTGAACACTGTGTTGATATTAGTGAAAAGAATACACAGCCGCTTCGCCATTTAAAAAACTCGTGTTAATACTTTTTATCGGTTAGTTTTACATTTTTGAGTGGAATAATTAATATATCCGTTCAACTCACTCAAAACTGACCATGCATGCTATTTTACACTTTCTAGAATAGCATGCTTGTGTTTGTGTCATGGGTCATCAGCCTTTTGATTATCATAGCGTTAAGATTATGAAACTTAAGATCAACGTAGGCACCATCGTCTGTTTCTCTTTATATTACATGAAGAAGAGAAGGAGGTGATGGTTTAATTTTCATACCATTGCGCGATAGGAGATCAAAGAGGGAGTAGATTCCTTGCTTTCCTCCCATGGGGAACGCTACTCCTCAAAACCTTTGTGGTTTGGGCGCAAACACCAACGTTTAACCTGATCAAAGCTTAAATATGTTGCTATTCTTATATTCAAAGGTCATATAGCGCCTTTATCGACATCGCACAAACAGCAGATAAAAAGTATATATACCAACGAAAGTATCAAGGAAGAATCAACTCTATTACCTAGAAATGCGTCTTTTATTAAAACTGACAGAAAGTTAAAATATATCACTTTTCTGCGGAAGTATTAAATGGTATTAATAACTGAAGCTAGCGAAATGTCTCTAACCGTCTTCATCAGATATCATTTCTGCTGATTGTCAGTGGCAAGAGATGTTAAGGTTGGTGCATTTGTAGCCATTTTAAAATTATGACTTTATGCATTCCTCCGCACAAATGTTTTTCATCTTCCGGGTATCTAATAGTTGTTTCTCGTAATTCCGAGATTATTAATTTGACAAGACACACTTTATAGTTTATTAGACACGTGATCTCGTCCAGACCACCAATTATAGCTGTCATCGCAAACAATACATTAGTTGTTTGAGAGTTCAGATGTAGGGAAATGCAGTTCACTCGGCTGTCAGCTGTTTATCTGCTGATGAAGTATCACATTGCTATGAAAAGATTTTTACTAGCTTTGTCAGAACACTGAGAAAAGAAACACAAACAATGCAGTGAATGCAAATTGTCCATTAATATTATTACTTGGGAGTTTCCCTCGAAGTCCATACCGACGACGAAGTCATGAATTCTAACTTATCTCCTCCAAGAAAACCGTGGAGTCACTCTGTTTTGATGTTCTTGGTCACGCTATTTACCTTTTCCTTAGGTAAGTCTTCACTTTAACTAAATATGTCTTGCACTCTACTTTAGGACCCTTAAGGATCTATAACTCGCGCAATTGCGCGGTTATTTCCTTTAACTCATAAATTAAGATCCATCACGTTTATATAAGGACGGAAACAAATGACATTTGACAGCCCGTGCACACGGGCTTGATACAATACCCAAGCTACAGCTGTATGTCTCTTTTTTGAGGCAATATGAACTATCAACAGTATGTTTTCAGATCAATTTTTGAGCAATATAAAAATTTCTCCGTGATCTGATATCTATACTTTCAAATCCCAAGGATTTTTTTGTGGTCTCTATAGATTTGTTTTCACCCATTTTCTGTAACTGTACTTTGACCCCAATAACTCTGTTATCAATCCCTTTCGAGAATTGATCTGAGGTAAACCATAATCATTTACGTTTCGATAAATATCGTCTGCCATTGTTAATGGTTGATTTATGCAGCTTACAACACGGCTAGGTATGGAGAAATAATGCATTAGTTTAACCGGAGAAAGCATCTCTCTCCTCCCAATTTTGTTCCTTCTATACTCCCCCTTACATTTAAAAGTTTTGGCATCTGTAAAGCGGTAGTGGACAGCAATAATTTAAGGATTTATTATACCTATGACTAAACTTCTATCAGTTAAGGGCTCATTACTGTACTACGCCTACACAATTCGTATTTTCAACACTAATTGCTGCGGAGCGACCGTAGGGAGCGAGCAGCAACATAATCAGGATTTAAGGGAAATATATAAGGGGCGACGAATTCTCGAATTCATCACTTTTTACCACAATGCATTGCATTTAACCACACTTTTTACCACAATACATTGCATTTAACCAGAGTGCATTGCGCCACGAACAAGTCAAATAAAAACACGGGGAAGTTCGCATCGTTCGCTGCCCAGACTCAGAGTTTTCTTTGTAGCAAATTTTCTACAGCACGGTTAGAGGTCTTACCAAATTTAAGACACGCAGGAGTCTTTCAGATGAGTGCGATGGTTAACTTGGGGATTGGATTTCAACTCAACAGCCTTTGACTCGTCCAGGTGTTAAACCTGACGAGAAGATGAGTATTTTCCTTTCGACTCCGCAACACGGGGGATATACAAATTCCAGCTTGCTAGAAGATGATGTGAAAGTGAGAAAATGTCATCCATGCTATTCTTAAGAACCTGTATGAGCCGAAAATGGATGTGATTTTGACCATTCGCTTCAAAATAACAGCGGAAATCGAGATAACGGGCGCTTTCCATTTAGGAAAAAAAACCCGGAAATTTCGGAGGTAGCAAAAGTGGAATTTCCGATTGGTAAAAAGTTGTTCCATTTGGTCGTAAACCCCGGTATGTGGCGGTGCCCGACCGTGGACCTGGAACTGGTACAAAGTACGAGAAACGTAAATGGAACACGACATTCCGTTCGGAAATTCCAACCGGGAAAACGGGACCACCTTTTTAGATTTTCCACTTTTTCTGGGAATTTCCAGTGGGACGAACCGATGAAACGTGTTCCATTTACCGCCGAACCGGAAATTCCGGAAATTTTGACTAAATGGAAAGCGCCCAACAAAACATATGTATTGTGTCCTACGTTGCAGACGAGGACGTGTATCGGGGTTTTGAAAAGCATAATTATGTTCTCTCATTCATTCATTACCATGGAATATGCGTTGACATTGTTTTTTTGCTTTTAATAGCTCGATTAATGCGGCTGGCGATCATCTTGCCGGCGGAAGTTTCACGGAAAAGGAATTAAATTAAAGACTTTTCCCGAAATTACGTATTCATTCTCCGTGGTGTAGTGGTGAGGTGTAGTCGCATCGAGTCGATGGTGCCGGGTTCGACTCCTACTGAACTCTTTTTTTCCTTCTTTCTTTTTTTCTTTTTCTGTTTTTTTTTTGTGTTGTTGTTTTCTATAAATATATAGCTAAATAACTGTTACTTAATAAAGTGCAATAAACAGCAAGAAAAGTATCATGTTTCCAGAGAAAAGATAGTACACCCTATATTAAATATATGGATAAACAATCTGAATTTCTATCATTTCCTACAAATTACTGTGGGAAAACCAGAGTTGATAACCATTTGATCATTTTTTAAACAACGTTCCCACGAGTTCTTTATATAGACTGATAGTAATTATTCTAGGACTTTCCAACATGTAAATAGCACATTCAATGTCATTTTCGATTCTTTTAAGTCCCACTGCCTAACTAATGCCAGTATCAACAGAATGTGCCGCAGCATTACTATCTTTTAGATACCCTAGTTGTAACCCTGATAATTATAGAATGCAACTAACTTACGATTTTTCACTTTCAGTGTGTAACATTTTCTTTGAATGATCACACCCTTTTCTTAAGTGATTTTCACGTTTGTGTTTTTAGGTCAGGATATAACTTGGGTAAACCAGCCACCTAATCCAACATTCGGAGTCCGCGATGAAAACGTTACTTTAGAATGGCAATACAGGCTCAATGCTAGTGACAGACTTTCTCAGTTTTTCTTGAAAAGAAGAGAAAACAATGAAATGGAGGAATTGGTTTCGTACGTGGCCAGCAATAATGAAAAGACATATTTTAACAAGAAATTTGTGATGTTGAAGCATGCAATTCCATCCTTCATGTTAATAAATGCTCAGGAAAGTGATGCCACTAAATATTGTTGTAGAATTCTCACAGCCAATGGCAAAAAAGGAAGGAGTTGCGTGGAGCTTAAAATACTAGGTGAGTCTCTCCAGATGTAAATGACACACAGTGCTTTATCTAGAACTTAAGCAGTGATTTTTAATATATTACTTCATTCTTGCTCATTAATCGCCTCCAGAGCGCAGAACGCCTTTTCGTGTAAACTAATGTGATTTGGATGGGCTAGAATTTATGGAAAAGCGTAATAGACTTGAAAGAAATGTTGCCACAGTACCTTATGGGAAGTGCGTGCGTATGATATTCTACACGCAGGGGTTGTTGACCCCTCAAATTCGAACGTACGGATGAGATTCTCAAAGAAAACCAATTCCTGCCCTTAAACCACTTTCGGTGTGTTAATTCGTGCATACTGAATGACCTTAAAACAATCCTCGAAGTTGGGAAACCTTGGCAAGAATTTCATCATTTATTTAACTGGATCAGTAGTCTTCCTCCTACCTGAAAACAACATCGTTCGTAGTTCTTAGTTAACGAGCTATTTTTCAACATGCAAATGCTTATCTTCATTTTAAGCGAGTTTTTTTGCAACTCATTTTCAACCGAGACTGCTTTTTAGCTCATAACAAACGTACATCTGTACACGACCACTGTGTATAAGATTAATCTTTACATCTACAAGTGTAGCAGCCTTTTCTTCATCACTCAATCCCCTAACCTCTATTAAAATCTTTTTTAGAACGCCCCATGATAATTTCTATCTCAAGTAACCAAACAGCGCCAGAAAATGAAAATTTGACACTTTCATGTAACGCAACTGGCAAACCACCCCCTGATGTGACTTGGACCAAACGAGGAAACAAGGAATGGAAGCATCTGGGAACAATTCTGTCCATAATAAACATTAGCAAAGTGCAACATGGAGAGACCTACTCGTGTACTGCGAAAAATAATGTTAGTTATGCGATTGCTTCTGTCACGATCGCTGTTAACTGTAAGTGTATCTTGAAGTCTACTCAGATTGCAATGTGATAGTAAGTATACAGCTTAGACTTCACGATAGGGCCTTTTTCGTTGCAGTTTATTGATTTGCATTTCAGTTATGTTTGTTCTGTTTTGCTGTCTTCATCAATGGAAAAGGAAAACAAAACAGAACAGAACAAAACCAACAAGGATCCGAATCTTGTGCCTGTTATGTAACTAAATAGTTATGGCCTTTTATGAGTTGACTGTTTTTTTTTGGAATGGCAAAGCAAAATTGGAAATGATAGATTGAAGAGTGGAAACCGAGGGGGAAAGATCTCTACCCTTTTTAGGAAACTAATAGCCACGGGAGGTCTAGTACTTATTATGCAGGGGCTAGTAGCATTTTAATTACTTATGCGTTAGTCAGTCAGACCTAACAGCTAACATCTTTCGCTGAACCCAGTCAAAGTCTTAATTTTAACGCAATAATGCCACTGAGGCGTTAGCAATAAAGTCTGATCTTAGGTGTTTATGACCTGGATGGCTCCAGAATTAAAGGAGTTGAGAAGTGAGTGTTGCTATGGTGACTCTCAATATAACATTTAACAACTATAGAATGAGGCTGAGAATGATCTGAAGAATTATGGAGATCGAGGATGGCATTATTGACAACACCCTCCTCGATCTCCATAATTTTTCAGATGATATGAAAGCCGAATCTAATCATTGTTTTATTATTCATTCAAAATAATTCTAAGTTTAAAAACAAGCTAAAACATGCTTACCTTGGTAGATGTAACGTTTCCGTCTTCCATTCTCCGCTTCTCGGCAAGTTTGGAAGATAAATGGATGTTCAAAATAGCAGATGTCTTCCGTCGAGTCGCATTCTTGCTGTTCTTGCTATGTTCGTAATTCGCTTATTTCCTCTTCGGGAAACGAGTGAAATGTTGTGCCATTTTGTACTGTTCTACCCTCGTCCCCAGGGCTTCTCGGTTGCCAGTCCACTTTTCTGACAATTATGCTGAACTACTGTCGTCATTTTCCACATATCGTAAACATCTTCCAAATTTGAACAACGCTAGCTCGGGTTATGAAGAATTACCCGTGGAATTTGAGCCAATCAGGAACGGAGAAACATTTTGCATGAATAATAAAATACTTTTATATCAGACAGCTAGCGCTCGTTAGTGAATTAGATATGAATAAATGTTTGAAGATTGTTCTTGAGAGACTACCCTAGGTCGTATATAACTTAAGCGGTAGTATCAAATCAGTTTTAAGTATGTTGTTAATATGCTGTCATTTCCTTGAGGTCTTTAAGAAATGTGCTTTTGAAATCATTGTAGATGCACCTTTAATCAGTCTACCTTCAAAGTCATACAACGTTACTGAAGGCGCTGATACAAGGCTTCTTTGTCCCAGTGATGGTAGACCTCCTCCTATTGTCACGTGGTCAAAGATAAATGGTTTCAACAACAGTTCATATCCACCCGGTCAAGTGCTTAATATATCGAATATAAACAGGACTGAAGCTGGCAAATACCAATGTACCGCCAAAAACAGTGTAGGAAAAGAGGCGATTGCTACTATTTACATCAATGTCATTTGTAAGTTTTAGCTGATATTTTAATGTTTCAAAGAAGTTTTAGGACGAATGAAATTGTGGCCTATGTTTTGTTTGGCTTGATATCGTTCTACTAACATGAATCTGTATCAAAGTCGGGAACTACAACCAAAGTTAAAAATCATTTGGAAATGTAATAGGCTCTTTGCAGCAGGTCAGTCACGTGGTACAAATACTCACTGGGACGAGACAAACTGTTTTCACAGTACGTTTCTTGCGCCCCAGCATGGCGCCCCCAGCATGGAGGTTTTGTACCACACGTAATTTACTAGCTGCATAATTCTTTAGATCATCCAAATGGAATAATTAACGAGGCCTCTTTACATTGTCCAAGCAGCGCCGAACCAGCAGTTCTTGACTGACAAATACTCTGTGAAGTCGCGAATCGAGCTCAATAAACGGTTACATCATACGCCCTTAGTTCCGTTAATAGTCCTCCTACTAGTCCGTTCACCACTGTCCTATATGCAAATCAAGGGTCTCTTTTCTTAGAGTGTTAACGCTCATTTCGCATCTAATTATCCTTCACCACTGTCCTATATACAAATCAAGTCCCTCTTTTCTTAGAGTGTTAACGCTCATTTCGCATCTAATTATCCTACATTAAGTCCCTTGAGACCCGACACTACACACTGGAGACCGTTATTCGATAGCAACGCATTTCCGTTTTTACAATTTTCCTTCATCTTGTGACTGAATTCTTAAACAGGCTATATTTTCGTTACTTAACAAAATGTTGATCGCAAGACTTTCCCTATCCGTAGATCCACCTACTATCGTTAGGAGAACCAGTACCCAAATATTGAACGAAACTGGGGAACTGCGTCTAAAATGTTACGCGACAGGTAATCCACGGCCATTCATCACGTGGACTAAAGTACCAGACCCTACAACTCTGGACTCACCAGACGGTGTTCTTACTATATATAAGGCGAACAAAACCCATTCTGGAATTTATCAGTGCAGAGCTAGTAACGGAGTTGGAAGAGATGCAACTGCACTATCTTCAGTTAGGACTGAAGCTGGCAAATACCAATGTACCGCCAAAAACAGTGTAGGAAAAGAGGCGATTGCTACTATTTACATCAATGTCATTTGTAAGTTTTAGCTGATATTTTGATGTTTCAAAGAAGTTTTAGGACGAATGAAATTGTGGCCTATGTTTTGTTTGGCTTGATATCGTTCTACTAACATGAATCTCTATCAAAGTCAGGAACTAAACCAAAGTTAAAAGTCATTTGGAAATGTAATAGGCTCTTTGCAGCAGGTCAGTCACGTGGTACAAAAACTCACTGGGACGAGACAAACTGTTTTCACAGTACGTTTCTTGCGCCCCAGCATGGCGTCTGTATAATTCTTCAGATCATCCAAATGGAATAATTAACGAGGCCTCTTTACATTGTCCATGCAGCGCCGAACCAGCAGTTCTTGACTGACAAATACTCTGTGAAGTCGCGAATCAAGCTCAATAAACGGTTACATTATACGCCCTTAGCTTCCGTTAATAGTCCTCCTACTAGTCCGTTCTACACTGTCCTGTATGCAAATCAAGTCCCTCTTTTCTTAGAGTGTTAACGCTCATTTCGCATCTAATTATCCTACATTAAGTCCCTTGAGACCCGAAACTATACACTGAGGACCGTTATTCGATAGCAACGCATTTCCGGTTTTACAATTTTCCTTCATCTTGTGACTGAATTCTTAAACAGGCTATATTTTCGTTACTTAATAAAATGTTGATCGCAATACTTTCCCTGTCCGTAGATCCACCTATTATCGTTAGGAGAACCAGTATTCAAATATTGAACGAAACTGGGGAACTGCGTCTAAAATGTTACGCGACAGGAAATCCACGGCCATTCATCACGTGGACTAAAGTACCAGATCCTACACCTCTGGACTCACCTGACGGTGTTCTTACTATATATAAGGCGAACAAAACCCATTCTGGAATTTATCAGTGCAGAGCTAGTAACGGAGTTGGAAGAGATGCAACTGCACTATCTTCAGTAAGATTCAATTGTAAGTTTGTTTTCAATTATTTTTATTCTCGCTTGACCCATTTTTTCATTTTGTGTTATATGCACGGTCTCCCTCGCTCCCGAATTTAAATATGAGGTCCTTTCATTTTACTGTTTAGCGTGAAATGATCTCTAATCAGGTGACTTACTATGTGCGGGAAGACATAAGAGTGACTGGCAGATGGGTTTGTTGAGTGTTACCGTATACTGCTGCTTATAAGCCCTGGGCTTATACAAGTTCGTAAGGGGTTTTAGGTGGGCTTATAAACGGGGGAGCTTATATCCGGATGGGCTTATAAGCGGACGAAAAAAAACGTTTCAAAATGAGCAACAGCACTGTTGATCGACGTATGATTTAAATTTATTACTCTTACAACGGATACAGTTTGTCAAAAGTTTTGTGAAACGCACTGTAACACTACAGGAGAACAATGAACAGTTACTTCAAAGCATTTGGCGATATGTTGAAATAAAGATTGTCAATAATAAAATGGTAATAAAGTTATTCTTCCGTAATCTTTTCCAGTTATTTGTTGAAGTAATAGTGTTCTCTGAGAGTGCTTAATATTAATAAAACAAGAAAAACTGGAGGGAGGCTTATATCCTGATGGGCTTATAATCGGATGTATTTTTTTGTTTGCACGTAGGTGGGCCTATAACCGGGGGGGCTTATAAGCGGATGGGCTTATAAGCGGCAGTTTACGGAGAGGCATATTTGCTGGTCGACTACACTTTTTAAAGATCCCATTCTATTTCATTAAGTGTTCTGGGCTAATTGGGTTTGTGTGCCAGTTAATATGAAATTCAGAAACATTCTTGGCTCATTGGTAATAGTAAACCAAGAGACGACCTTATGGATTGTGATTGGTTATATTTATACTCCTGTGTCTTTTCAACAGACAAACCAGTCGAAACTCGCCTAAGATCAGACACCAAAGATGACAGAGTGATAGCGGGAAACTCTGTAACTTTTTCGTGTACTGCTGAGAGTAACCCACCTCCAAACCTGGAAATCCGCTTGAACAATGTGTCGTTGGGTTTCTTCAAAAACAATACATTCACTCTTCAAGACGTCAACACGTCTTATGGTGGAACCTACGAATGTGTTCCATGGAACATGTTTGGATACGGCCCCATAGCAACTGTCAACCTGACTGTACAAGGTATATGTTAAGCTGCTAAGCAGGAGATTAAAAATGGAAAAGGGAGGGAAAGCTAATACTTCCACTTCATTTCCTTACTTTTTGGAGCCTGCCAAGGAGCCTAAATAATGACTTAACGTTCCACTGTCCAGTTTATCTGCGCTTTTAAGAAAAAGAACGAAGAAATGAAGTTTGGTCCTTGTCCCTTATCTATCAGTATGGGTAACTTTACTTAAAAAATGAGGCTAATTTACCCTTATTTGTTTACCTTTCTCTAGCAAAGTGAAGAAAGCAATTTCTTAGGATATTGAGAAAAAGCAAAAACTTTATTTGCAGTGTGAAAACATAACCGAAAATTATAGAGCGTTTTTACTCACGTGGCCAGCATCTGTGCAAATTTATTGGAACAAAACAAGGCGTTTGCATAAGAAAGGAGATCAACTCTCACGGCATTGGTTTGGGACACCAACATGGCGCTGTTTCTTTGTTTTGGAACACCAATATTATATGGCCGCCGTGAGGTCATGTGAAAACGCTCTATAATTGGCTGTTGTTTCTGGTACACGGTAGAATTTCATGATTCAAGATTAAAAACGATATAAAAGTATAAAGTCATATATTAATTTATACATTATTCTCTTCCTTCTAGAGGTGGTCCGAGGCAGGAAAGGAACAAATACATAATAGTTAATAGCACTGCTGTTGACTGCTTTTGAAGTGTCTATAATTTTTTGGTAGCCCTAGGATTGTCGAAAGTTTCATTGCCTGTTTCTTTTAGGATATCATTGGATTAAACTAGGAACAGCACTAAAATTATCCCATCCTTAATTTTCTTTCCACGGTTCCAAAAAGCTAGAGTTGGAAAATCGCTAACATTGCCTTTTAAAATTTGTTTTAGTTCCGCCTTCGATTGACTTTATTTCCCACGAGGTTACTGTAAACGAGACTGAAAATGTCACCATATTCTGCAACGCATCGGGGATTCCAAAGCCAGTGGTCACCTGGACATTTCTGGGCAGCTCATCGGATGGTATGGAATCTGTTAACTTGGAATCTCTCTCGTTACCACGTATCAACAAAAGAAAAGCTGGAAGATATCGATGTACAGCAGCAAATGGCGTCGCAAATCCTAAATCCGCTCACGTTGATATAAAAGTAAATCGTAAGTGTGAACAAATATAAAGTAACATTCACATTTCGCTAAAATCCGCGGTTGTAATTCCCAAAATTCCAGGTAACTCAAACCGGCAACAGTCGGAAAATTGTTTGCCCTTAATTTGACTTCTGATTCCTGAAGAGAAACCCATCGATGGTTGACCATGCTAGAGGCTTAACACGATAACGGATACAAATGTCCCTCAAAATATTTACAACTTTTGTCTTTCAGATAAACCAGAAATAGAACATGTTGGACCTTCAAGGGAAATCACCTCTTGGCTAAACCATGACACTACATTAACGTGCAAAGCAGCAGGATTTCCATTGCCAGAAATTAAATGGAGTCATGATGGCGCAGTAGAATATTCTGTCCAAGGTTACTCCTGCACCAGTATTCTCAGGTTCACACCCAAACGAGCGAGTGATTTTGACGTTGTAGTGTGCATGGCAAAAAATATTCTTGGATCAGCAGAAGCCAAAGTAACTGTTAAACAACTTAGTAAGAATACGTCCAGTGTTCTTTTTTTATGGTAAAGTTAAAACATATCACTTATTATTCATTAAAAAAAACTAGTATATGGTATGCTCAATTGGACACAAGGGGTATGTATTTTGTAAGACGGGCATAATTTCTTGCCGAATTCCTGTTTGTTTGATATACGTTTGGAAAAGGCGATTATTTGTACGGTGTTTGTGTGTAAAAAAGATCTTCGTTCTCTCGTAATTAAAGAATTTCTTTTACTTTTCAGGAAAACGACAGTTTCTGCTTTAACCAATTAAGAGAAAAATTGTGCCTTTCTCTATTGAAATTCAATTTCAAACAAACTTAATGGAAATTCTTCGAGAATGGTGCGCGTTTGAGAAATTGCCTAACTAAGGCAAAGCAAATTCGCTCGTTTTTTTTATCATACATATTAATCATATGCTAGCCTTGATTTCATTTTTTTCCACAGGTGTTCCAGACCCCCCAAAGATCCTACGAATTGACGAAGGTCTTAATAACCTAAAAATTCACTGGAAGGAGTCTACCGCTAAACCAAAATTTTCGATTCTCGGTTACATGGTACAGGTTAAAGAAAAGGGAGAATCACATGAGTGGATAAACTGTACGCAGATGGAAAATCAAACAGGTTCCATGATGTGTCTCATGGATGAGTTGAAGAGCAACACCGAATACATTGTAAGAATATCTGCAAGGAATGTAGTGGGTTTCAGTGAGTTTACTATGAGGGAGGTTTCAACAAAAGAACCAACAGGTAACGGCTTCCCCTTCATGTGCTAATGCCTATTAGCAACCTTTCAAGATTTTGATAAAATATTCTTCTCCACATTCTTTCCCCAGATAATTCGCTCCTGTTAATTTAAATAGCTAATTAATATCGTTCAAGGCTAGTGCCTTAATTGGGAATGATGACACGTGAGACATAATGACGAGTCGTATTACAAAATACATGGTTCCAAGCGCTGCTAAAACAACAGTGCTTGTATCTCAGTTTAACATTAGCACTTATACGTCCTGTAATTATGATATTTTTCGATGAGCCTAATGTAGTGAAACCCCTAAAGCAATAATCTAGGCCGCGATTTATAAGAATGTGTTAAATAAGTGTAACATGTATAGTTTCTTAGCATCACACAAAACGTTTTTAAAATAGCAATTGAAAGTAATCTTGTAGAACACATCACGAAACATCGAGTTTATAAGACTTTCGCACAGTAAATTCTAGTTTTATAGTGGGGGTAAGGGTGGAGTAAGTCTTTTAATCTGAAGAATCATAGGCTTCACGCTGTGTGATACTACCGAAGAGTTCGTCGTTAATTTCGGATTTAGCAGCCAGGGTCGCTACTTTCGGGTAGCTAAGACGTGCGCCGTACATGGTACAAATGTGAAAACATCCACACTTTTTACTTGGGAAAACTTATTTCATGTTTTTTCGTTTTTAAATACAAATTCAAAAGAACTGTTCGATTACGGTCTGGATATTCAAAAAACGAAAGGAAGACTTTTGGAATTAAAGAAAATAATGTAATGTACCGTTGGTTACATAAACTCTCAGAAGGAGTGTCACAAATAAGATCTTTATAACCTTTTAAAATAATCCTCGGATCAGTTTGGTAAAGTTTGTTGTATGTTTAATTTTCGTTACTTCTTGCGAAAAGGGAAATTATTTTCAGGCGAAGGATCGTTATCTTCGGAGGGTCTCTACCTTTGGTATTTTCACACTTTTGAAATTTTATCGCTGCTTTCGGGGCCGGGTTCGTTACTTTCGGAACTTCACGGTACAATTTCGCTAGTTTATGCACGTTTACCGCGATATTATGTATAGCTGTACACTTTATTGCAACAAACGGGCATGCTTGAAAAAAAACCCAATCAACTAACATGTAAACCTATTTTGTAGTAAAAGAGAAGCAGCAAGGCCTCCCTGGAATTACTGTTCACTGGATAATTGCAGGAGTAACTATCGGCTTCTGTGTTGTGTTACTGTTAGTTGCTGCTGTAGCATTGAAGAGACGCTCTCGAGGTTTGTTTACTCCGAAATACACAGACTAATTAATATATCATTGCGAAGCAGTAAACTATAAACAACTGAAACATGGAGTTTAATGCACTTGTTTTTAAAAATACGAATTTGAATAACTACTACCGGATGCAATTGTTTGTTTAATTTTTCAGGCAAACAATATAATCAAATTTCCTCATCATCATGATGAGATAAATAAAAAAGTTAATAGAAAATATATATTAAATAGTACAAACTTGGAGGCATAAAGCAAGCTTTCATCAGTCAGCGAAACTCGTGTTACACCCTTTTTTACCCTTGCATTCAGTTGTACATTAATTTATTCACCCGAACGTTCCTTGACCAACTGAAACAAATTTAAACATTGTGAAGTGACATCCTATTCAGTACAGCTCTTAAAGAAAACATCACAACTAACTTCAAAATAGATTTGAACCGTTTTGAATTCTACTGACAGCGCCCGTCTATGGGATTAACGATTTGTGGAAAATCAAATAGTCAAAATTATTCTTCAACGATTCAAGGAAGCAAATGGCTTTTTATTGGAGTATCATTTGCATTTTGTTCTATTAGACGGGTTTTTATTTCTATTTTTACTTATTTAGGATTATATCACCGTTAATTTAGCATTATGTCAATTATAACTGCTTGTGATCCAGGCCTTTTAGTGACTAATTTGAGAAAAGAAAAAAAGAAAAAAAATCATAATTTTAAGATGACCTAATTGCAGATGCTGGGTTCAATTATCAACAGTATTCATTTCTCTCGTTATTTCATACGTTACAGATTTTTTTGGCTTCCTAATCATCCTTTCATACACAGATCAACATTTGTATGACGATTTACCCGGCGAATTGAACGCGTTTTTGATGAAAATGAAGTTCATCTAATCAATTCAAAAGAGCAGATCCAAGACGGCCGATGCTTTTGGTTCCTTCCTTAATGATAAGTGAGGTCATCATGCCATCACTTCTATTGTTAAAGTTTATTTTAAATGTTTTATTCAGCCTCTTGTTTTTATCAGACCCCTAAAACTATTTAAGTATTTTTGTCGCTTTATGGCCACTTAAAGAGGGAATTTGGATTCTACTAATAAATTCAACAATATGACGTCATAATGACGTCAAATAACGTTACTGTGTCAGTGAAGTTAAGCCTAGATTTTGGACATGTATTTATTAAGCAAAAAGAAAAGCCAGTTCTGAACTAGCCTCCTCCGCAGGCTTCACTGTCCTGTTTTAGAGAACGAGTGGCAGAATGGCGCAGAGAACGGAGAGTGACAGTGATACCTGTCAAATATCTACAAGGTGATGACCTTCTTGACATTTTGGCTCGCGCATACAAATCCAATTTGTGTACGGGGATATTTTGAGAGACAAAAGCCGTTTACCGTGACCTACAGTAAGAACTAATAGTTTTTTAGTTTGTTTTCTGGATTTGTAATAATTTGTCTGACGAAAACCCCCAGAAGGGCCAGGGTCTTGTCACTGATCCACAAGGGTGAAGGACGGGGTCCTCACTCTTCGAATTTTGGCAGGCAACTCCATCACATTTTTTCTCCTTTTCTCGTCCTGAGACTACTCACGGTCAGTGTAACCGGAATTGCCTGCAAAGGAGACTAGGTCTTAACAGGGTCAGGAAAATAGTCTGTACCTGAATTCTTTTTGTGTTTAGTACAATGTATATGATTTAGGTGTTTTCTAGTTTAAAGTTGGAGTACATGTAGATGTACTGCAATAACAGCTAATTTGAAACATGTTTTTCTTTTATCAGGACGAGGCGAAGTAACAAACGTTAACGATAGGTTGGTTAAACTATAATCATACTTGATGAAAGTGATCCTGATTATGTTTTCCTTTCATGAGTTGTACGATACCATTACGGCGTTTTTTCTACTGCCTTAACAGTCATGCAGTTTAGTGACGCATACGGACTTATCCAAGACCATGAAAAACATCCCAGAAACGCTCTTACAAACTGAACTCTCTGCTAAAAAAAAGCGCAAAAAAAAGGCTCGTTTGACTGTTGATAAAGTAGCCTGCAAATACAGCCGCTACTCCTTGCTCCTCACCGATAGGAACGTTTCGCCAGTAGGAAAGTCTGCACCTTAGCGACAGAAATTCGACACTGATGACGTAAAATTTGTCCGAAATCTGGTCAGGAGCTCTGAGTGGTCGACAAAGTAGTTACACTGAATGACAGACAAAAGACAAAAGGCCACAAAGGTCAAATTTAAATTAAACGGAGTTGTAAACGTGATGAATCTACTACAAAACAGTTAATATTCCTGGAATATATTCTTCTTTAGAGAAAGCGTCTGAGTTTTGCTGGTGCTCGTTCGCAGTAGAACACAAACCTTTAGCGTAATCGACCAAAAGAAACATAAAATCAAGCAAATTTACATTTGGAACCTCATGAATACCGGAATTATTATGTAAACACTGATTTGCGTTAAACGCATGGAATTTCGTTTACCGGTTTATTAGCCCATTATGTTAACTTTTTTTTGTTTTGCTGACCAACCCAGCCAATAATCCTCAAATGTAAGGGGTGGGCAGTACATGGTAATTACTCCTGTCCCGCGGCGAGGAGCGAGGAGAAACGGCTGTATTCACAGGATATTAATAAAGCGACTGGAATGTTCTTTGAACCGCTTTGTTTTTGCAAAATAGAACGTTCACTAAACTAAAATTTCTTTTTTAAAAAATAAAATATACAGTGGAAGAAATCTTCCACAAAAAAGGAAGGTCTTCAGCGTAAAAACAAACAGAGGGCAATTATTACGGAAGACCCTAGGTGAGATGGTGGCAACCAATGAACATAGAAGTCGCAAAGTTAAGAATAAGAATAAGCGATACGACAGATCTAGATAATTTCACTGACTTAAGTAAATGTCGCGAGCAATTAATTATAGATATTCCTTCCGATGCCATTATTTTCCTTCCTAGATTTTGTTAGTCGTAGTACCTAAGTCGGTCCATTCGCACAGTCCAACAAACAATCGTGATTCGAGTCGAAATCCTTTTTTAATAGGTGTTTATTGAACTGCAGTTATTTCTTTGCAGAGTGATTAGTTCAGATGATCCTTTTACAGCAAGGAGCCCAAAAGTGTGACCTCCTTTAATTAACTCACATCCTTTCGTGTAGACGTTAACCAATCAGAAGTCAAGGACAGTTTCCAGCTGGCTCCTGATTGGATTAAATCTGTACGAAAGAATATGAATCAATCAAAAGCGGTGACACTTTTGGGCTTCTTGCTGTAAAGATCATTACTACTTAGAAGGAGTTTTCTCAGTGACTGCCGTGTTTAATCAATGTTAATTCTTGTCTTTACCCAGTGGTTCCAAAAAGGTGACTATTACCAGTTATGATAATCCAACGATGGGGGAGAGTCTGCAGACAGTTGCAGCTGTTATAGAGGTACCTTCTTTTGACCGTGTTGGTATTGCACATTTTATATGACGCAAGTTAATTGTTCTCATTCAAGGGCTCATTACTGGAGTCGGGCTGGCTTGCTTTGCCGAATTGTTCTTTATCTTAATTTACATGAAGCACACCTTCCCGGAGCCGCCGTATCCCGCTGATCCTGGCAAATCTCGCACCCAGATTCCTTCTCGACGACGCTCCTTACACCCAGGCATATGTAGACAAGGCCACTAAAAATCTTGTTAAGAGAACCGGGCAGGGTAGAATTTCAAGCTAATTGATCGATTTTGCTAGTCTTAGTCTCCACTCACCCTAACGATGGGTGAAATGACCCCTGGGTTCATACCATTCACAAAGTTCAGGAATCGAACATTGTTTTCATGCGGAATAGCACAGTACCGCATATAGAGAAAATGTAACGTTATCTTAATGATAAAAAAGTATCGAATTTAACCTTTTAAACTTGAGAGATTAATGTTGTAAACTAGAATTCAGAATCCATTTTAATTCAACGCTACTCCGGATGAAGGGTGCAGTGAAGACTAAAGCTTCAATCGGTAAAACGGGTAACAAAAACGTGTAACGTGTTTTGCAACAATGCTGCAAAACGAGTTGAATAGCGATATTACGTGTTTTACCACCTACGTTCAGTCTGATACCTGATTTGTTGCATGTCGCTATTAAATCTTTTTGCAGCAATGTTGCAAGATGAGTTACATTTTTTTTGTTGCCCGTTTTCCGTATCTTAAATGAAACATTTTAGTATCAGCTCCTAGTGATCCGAAGGATATTTTCATGCTCCGAATCTTCTCTCTCCGTTAGGTTAATTGAAAAGTTATTAGTGTAAAATGCAAGATGAGCGAACAAACACCTAGGCAGAGACGTCGACTGAAAACTCACAAATTGGAAAAAAAATGAAAATGAAATGAATGGGGTAATAATTATAGAATCCCACTCGAATAGAACTTTTTAGCTTGTACATTGTTTTTATCCACTTCTGACCAAGTAATGGTAAAAAAAAGCCAGGAAACTATTTCTTTCAAACGTTGCCCTGAACCCCCGCACACGTCTGTGTGCAAAATTTATGAAAGGAAAAAAGGCAAATTCTCTTGAGAACATCACGTGGTTGAACATACTAGCTGAAATGTTCCGTGAAAAGCAGATTTTAACTTTTAATTCACCTCTTAATTTGTCTCTTTAATTTACTATTCGTATTTATACTCATTTAATAATCTAATTTTATTTTCTTCGCTTTATTCGAGTTTGATAGCGCAAAAAACTTCCAAAAAATGCGGAAACTTTTTTTTAACTTGTAGGGGGAACAAAGTGGATAGCAATAAAACCTGAGTAACAAAATACCGATGTAACAGGAACAGTTGCTGCGAGAAATCATGTTTATTGGCGGCTGGGAAGAGTTCCAGTAAAACCTGGAAAACTGGAAAGATACGACAGATACCGACGCACATTTTCTAGCTGCCACTAGGACAGTTAGTCTTAGGTCAGCGTCTATTTAAAAGGAAGTGTTTGGCAATTCTTTTGATTGTTTTTGTTTATTAAATATTTTTTCGTCCAAAAATTCAACTCTGATAAGAATTTTTGTCACTATGGATAATAGAAACAAGACTAGTGTGAATTTTTTTTCATGATTAAGTTGAGTAAAGCACTTGACATAAAGATGTTTCTTTTACAGCGGTGCGTGTTGTGACTTTTTAAGGTGTTAAAGAGAGAAGGAAAATAACGAACGAACAAACATAGTAGGAACTACTATTCTGATATCTCACACAGCTAGTTATAAGTAATATAATAAAGTTGTACAACAGATTTTGCTGACTTTTTTGATTGCCTTTTTTAATCCAAGCGCAAACAAGAATATAAATATCTCGAAATATCAGTCATTTCCAGTCAAACAATTACATTTTTCCTTAAATAATAGTGCTAGATTTGCCATCCGGACTCCCTCAGTTTATGTTTAAAATGTTTCTTTTGTTACTCAATTCTGCAAAGGGTATGCATCGATCTTTTAGTTGACGTCTTCAAGACACAGAATACTGAATGAAGCGAAAAAATTCCCTGTTCTTTGAAGTCTGTTTACACTTCATAAAGTATGCTATGGGTGTGTTTCTTTAAAGAGACCCCTTAGTTACCCCCTTTACGAATTGATGGTCAAGTACTCGAAACAGCTCGCTCACACAAGGTTCTAGGTTTGGTTATCCCTGACAGTCTGAAATGAAATGAAACGCCCTTTCCGCATACCTGTCTAGTGAAATAGAGCGGGTCCAAATGCGTGCTTTAAGGATAAAATACCGCCGATCTTAATACCAGGAAGCCTTACAACTTGCTAAAATCACTAGACTTGAGGACAGGCGCAATGAACTCTGTATGTGGACTTTTGGCAAAATTGTAAAAGGTGGGCCCTTGCCAAAACATGTAACCCAGATTAGGACTGTCGCTCATGACTATTCTCTTTGAAGTTCTAACTCTTGGTTGTCTTTTAAATGTAAAGCTGAGCGTTTTAGGCGAAGCTTTTTCCCTAGTAATATCCTAATGGCCAACGCATGCAACATCTTTTAAAAGTTAAATGTTATTCTTAGCTTAGTTTACAATTTGTTTTTAGATTAGTATAATTTTCGTAGTAACTATGAGTGGACCATATTCTTGTAATTTTACTAGGTTTTACTCTCTGCTATTTGTAATTATTATATTGTAAACTCCAGTCCCAATAAGGTTTTTGTAATTTTTCTAGATATTGAAGACACATTGTAATTCATTTTTAATGCGAGAATGTGGTGATTAAACACATTTTTTAAAATATTTATCTTTATTTTCTTTCGTGGAAGAGTGGTCACGTGAAGTGACGGTGGAAGACCGTCCGCTGCAATGGTTAAGAAACATTGTCATACCCCAAATTTCGATGCACTGTTTCTTTCCTTAAGCAAGAAACGACAAAGAAGATACATTCTATATCCCTGAAATTTGTTTACTTGAATAACGCGTTTGCCAGTCAATCTAGATAATGGCTAGCATTAAGAAAAGAAAAAAAAAAAAATGCATCATGTTGCTCATCGGCGAGAATTAAGAAAAGAGGAAGGTACGGGCATGTTCCAATTTTGTCACTAAAACCTTTAATTTTTTTTCTATTTCTTCTAATTTAAATGTTTTATGCTTTTTAAGGACCAATTTAAAAGGCAATTTAAAATAATTAAGACAAGCGTAAGTGTATGACATTCTTTTCCATTTCTAATTTAAATTGTCTTTGCTTGTGAACGAAGTTGTCACTTACGATTCCAACATTTGTTACCTGACAGTGTTAGCTGATAAAGGAGAGGAGAGGATGAGCAATTTTGTTTGGTCAAACTTACGATGCTCATTAAAATCCTTAACACTGATCAATTGCAAATTTACTCCATGATATGGTTATTATTTTTAAGTAAGTTCTATTGACATAGAAAGCGAATTGATGATGAGCACACTTTATTTCGTCAGCCGACTAAAAATATTGCCCGCGGACACTAAATTGAAATTTCCAGTCAGGATCAAAGAGAGTTATATGGGCCAAAATGCTCGATTGACACCGAAATAAATCGTCCTAACAACTGTCATATCATCATCAGGGGTCTTTACTCTCTTAGGTCAATTAAGGGCGTGTTACTTTGACCGTGAATAAATTAACTCTAAAAATCACTTGTTATAGCATTCATTGCAAAATTCACGGTAGAAGAGATGCGTAATAACACTTATATTTAGACTGCAAAACAGTCCGTATTTTCGCGTATTCAAGTACGCTTGAGCAGTCAAACAAAATGTCTGCAACGAGGCTGAAAACAGAGAACGAGACTCGCCTCACACGCCCGTAGGGAATGTGAGTCTCGCGCGCTTCGCGCGCGCGTAAGACTCTTACGCCACGCTCTATCGATTTCTTTACGGATTTTGAGAAAAAATTGACTGTTTTGCAGTCTAGGGTTAAAATGACTTTTTTTAACTACCAAGCGTAGAAACACTTAACACAAATTTTCCAACCAATACTCAGTGCAATCAGCCCCTTTAACTGTGTTACATTTCTAATAGACAGCCTGCAATGAGTTCTTTGAAATCAGTATGACAAAATAAATTGAAGATAAATTGGAAGGAAGCTGAGATTTATCATTAGTGTCGAAAATAATCTTTTCAATCCTTAATATGATTTTTCCCTTTCATAATAAATCGCATCTCAAGTACTGTCGCATTCCAGTTATCATAATATTACCTAATCGACCCCATGGCTCTTGTGACTTTAAATTTGAAACCATAGAAACCGGTTTTCACTAAACATGGTCATAATTGTGACTAGAAGCATTTAACCCCGGAATAAACGCAAAACGCCTGACAAAGGGCTTGAGATTTTAACGAAAATCGATAATGTGTTCCATTCTGGTGTCACGCCCTTGTGGTTAATAATCTTTTAACAGAAGCCCCTGTATGCCAAAGGGGCAATACTTTTGCAGCGAATTGGCCGGATCTTCGCGTAAAATGGCTCAAAAAGAATGATAGAGTGTAGAAAATAATGTTTAGCAGAAGTTTCACTTCGTATAGGTTTAGAAACTTCGATGCTCTCGCTGACATGCGTACAAGGAAAACGCAAACTCATCACTGAGGGCTCATCAAAAAACATAAGGTTTCATTTTCTGTTAACTGGAAGCCACCACATCGCAGCAACATTAAGAAAGGGCTATTTCACCTATTTTCTGTTTGTCAAGATACCGGTTAAATATTGTTAATTAGTGAAAAGTGCATGATATTGTAAGAGTCTACAGGAGAGAAGACCAAATGAAGACCGATGTACAGCAAAGTTGATTGTTGTTAATAGCTCTCGCCGTGTGATGGCTTTTCGAATATATAAATTCCAGTCGAACGACCAAGAACTAATTTAGTGGAAAACACATGTGCTAGAGTTAAGCAATGCTGACATAGTTAAAGTTATTTTTAAGCTAACGTTTTGATAAAAAAGGACCGTTTTTTGGCTAATAATGAAATTGCTTTAAAATTCGTGACATAGCAGCTGACATTGTGAGACTTTGACATTGTGAGGCTTTTGTGCATTTTTAATCAAGACGTTATAATTATTTTATGAGTTAACAGCTTTTAACTTTAATGAACAGGGTTTATGCTGTTTCATCTCTAAGATGATTTCAAAATATGACAAATACAAACGTTACCTATACTTGTGTCAGTTCAACTACACAAATACATCAAACAAAATAGTTTTTAAATACTAATCTATAATAAGAATTATATTATTTTCCTCTACGTCGCTAAATTGCCTCAGTGGTGGTATATATTGATGAATAACAACAAAATTTCGAACCAAACGAAAATAGACGAACTATACGACGAGCACCATGATTAATATGTCAAATTGGTTAACAAGTAAACAGAAAACCCTTTCGCCATGTAAAGGTGATGAGGATTGTGTCTCCCTATTGTAGGAGTTTATAATGTATTTCACGAAAACCAGTCAATGCGCGCTAACGTATTTTTCCTTTTTGCGGTTAACTTTCTATTCACGAGAAACGAGATAATTCATTATTACAATTGTTGCTTTTTTGTGAATCTTATATTGAAAGCACTGGTTGAGAAGTTCCCTTAAAGTACGCACGATGCTTTTGTTTCCGCCTTGACGAATGGGTCCTCCCTGCTAACGAAGCGGCCCTTTCCAAAGCTTGCTGATGAAATACAAGTCTTCTTTGATCAATAGAAACGAAATAGTCGCGATGGCCGCAAAATGCACACCACATACATAACAACAATCCAGCTATGACCAGCAAAAGCGTTATTGTCGTCAGAAGAGCGTCGAACTCGCTGAAATTGTTCTGGATTGTTCTCCCCCAAGAGCTGCCGTCTGCGTTGTAAGGCTGAACAAGTGACAGAAGAAGACAGAAACCGCCAAAACTTTCGCCTGGTTTGCGCATTACGTATACAGGCGGATAATCCTATACTTGAAGCCAGGAGTTTGTAACAAATTTAGCATAAAATTCGGCGTGACGATGTTAAAAAAGGACGTCGGATTTCTTAATTTCTGCTATAGGGTGTCAATTCCATTCGAGTCAGTGTTCCACACCAGGATAACGAATAATGAGTACGTGAGTAGTTTTCGCTTACGAGAGATAAAAAAAACAACCGCAATAAAGTTTTTTCCCTCCATTAAGGAAGAAGTGAAAATAAAGAAACCACTAAGCAGGTGATTGATTTTTTTCTCTCAAGAATGAACCTGTTCGGCAGCAAGCCAGCTTGAGTCTTAAACTCAAAAATGCTAAAGTATAAAAAATAATCCTGTATTAAACTTTGTCACCTTCCTGTAAAAAGAGAAAAAATTAGTTATGAATAAAATTTAAAGCAAAATTGGAAAAAAAACATGGCGAGTCATCAAGACGCCTTGAAGTCGAAATATAAAATTAATTGCTGGCAAGTATTTTAAAGAGTGTATTTTGCCACCAGCTGTAAAATATTATTATTCATTTCACTCCGTTTATTTGTACCCAAACAAAAGCCGCTTTTTACTTAAAAATGAAACAGTGTTAATTCGGTGTGGAGAGTAATAGGGAAAAATAGAGTTATTTTTAATAATCTTTACATTCCTTATGAAAAATTGATGTTCCAATTCGCAATTAGCGTGGTGCAGCATTAAAAGGCTGAACACAGTTTTGCGGGCGGTCAGCGATAGCGCGTGTTTTAAATTACACAGACAAATATGGCGGCGAAAAAAGTAATGGTACACAGAAGACGATTTCTCAAAATCTACTCTATAAAAT